AAAACAGCGACGACGCGCAATAAACATTTTTCAAAACAAAAATTATTAGAAACTATGCATGGGTTTTTGTTTCTGAGTATGTAATTAATAATCATTTGGATATATTTTAAAAATTTAATTAATTCCTGAACGATTACAACATTTGGTTGATTAAACCTTTGTCTGTCTTTTCTGGCTACAGCTGCCTCTAATTTTTGCCCATTTTATCATTGCACGCTTTACAAAACAGCAATTTCAACGGTCGAAAAACGGAGTAAAAAGGAATTTCCGTCTTTCAAACTTTTAATGAATTGTACGTCTCTAGAATAGCAGATAAACAATCTACAAGATCGATATTCTCGCTATTCCCGAATGGCCGTTATCATTGAAAACTGGAACGACAAAAAAATAATCTCTATAAAAGTATAAAGATTGCCTTTACGTCACAACCATGAACTTTTATCGATTAATACGACCGTACGTAATCCACGACAACAAAAAACGAAAAAGTCAACAATAATGCAAACAAATGAAGCCCAAATCCCAGACGAATTTTCGAAATGGAATACAAAACAGTTGAAAATGATGAGATTTGGAAAAATTATTATTCCGTCAGACAGAAGAAAAACAGAGACAACTTTTGCAATTTTGACGATTTTACGAAAGTTTTGTCTATATTCTGGGGAAAACATATAGAATAAATAGATATCACAAATTGCGAAACCAAAAAAAAAAAACAATAACAGAAACACAAGAAAATGTAAATGTAACGTAGAATATAATAAGAAAGAAGTAGACGATTAGAAGAAAATAGGAGGAACTTTCGCCTAAAAGAGAGAGATGGTAGTCATCATAAGCACATTTAATAATAATGTTCCCAAGTCGTACTCGGAAGATTAAAAATCGATTATTTTTTTTTCGAACTAAAAACAAATCAAAGCCATACCTCTTCACAGAGCGCCAGCATTCGCCGGGTGCTGTCCAAAGACTGGAAGAAAAAAGTTATGTTAAGATTGTGTCATCTTAACAAACTACGTACAGATATGGTAAAAAGTTCACCATACACATTTCTTTGTCAGCATTTTTTTCCCTTTGTACGTAACAAGAGCGAAAATGCATAATTTGGTTAACGTTTGGAATTTGTTTTTCAATCACGTCTATCTGAAAACGCTTCTCTCCTAAACTAACTGAACTCTCAAAACCTTTATTTAAATACATTGTATTTTTCAAAACATAATGCAATCCTTCGACTATTGCACGTAATACCAGATCACTATGCTCGGTTCTAAACTCGCCACTAGTGTATACGTATAATTAGAAAAATCTGGTGTATAGTATACCAGGAAAAATATAGATACATTTGGTTTTGATTAAAAACGTCGTTAAAAGCGCATAAAAAAGCAATGCAGAAAGTTAAAAGGTTTTCTGCAAGTAATTTCTACGAATATTAAAACAATTGCTTATTCCAGTCTACAAATACAGTTATATAGATTTCATTGATTTCTACTATATACAAAATCGTTATCGAAGGAAACTGAAACTATCACAATAAACCAAATATACACAAACATGAATCATTTTTCGTTTAAGTGATAATCTATTACTTTACAATTTGACGAAGAATTTTCTGTTCGACAAAACCAAGAAAAACCATTTAAAGGATATGCGAATTTTTTAAATGAGTAACAATACCTTTGTATATGGTTGTTATATGCAAAAAATACTCCAATTATCTCTTGCTGATATACAACAGAGTATCAAAGCGATAAAAATAAATATTAAATAACTTAATCATTCACAAAATTAGACAACTTTTAATGAAAAAATGCGCAGAAGGTTTTTTTACCGCAAGAGAATTCAAAAAACAAGACTCACCTCATCGGTGACTTGTTGTGATCGAAGTTGTAATTCCTGGAGCTCCGATCTCGGAGCCCCATTCTCTGCAGGTGGAGCTGGTGCAGGCATATTCTGAAACAGAAAAAAAATAAAACATGTAAATTAAGGGAAAAAACCATAAAACTGTAAATGATATATATGTGATGGTAATTTAGAAACATTTGCATAGATAATATTGAAATATTAAAGCTTATGCTTATACCACCCCCAAAGTTTACTAACCCTGAGCAAAAATGCTCTATTCAAAATATTATCAATGGGCAAGTTATGTATACAATCTAGTATCTTAAGAAGAATGATAATCATTCTTGTTGACACTAATTAAAAATATTAGAAATACATAGAATTATGTTTTTACTTGATTATTAATTTAGATTTACCTATTACATTTATTATTAAATAACGTATGTAATTACTTAAAATCAATAAGCCCAAATAACCTAAGTAAATTTGAAAAATTAATAAGAGAACTTGACCCATTCATGGCAATAAAAAGAGCCACCATGTCTGTATCAACACAACTTTGACCTTTCCACCCTTTTTTTTGTTTTCAAAAAATTATATTACTGAAAACGTTTAATATGTATAATTCGCATAATTACAATATACATTTAATAAAATGAGAATTATTTTAAAGACCAATAAAACTATTATCAAAAGCTACACCAAATACGATTTTCCAGGATTTTAATATTATTATCTGTAGAATTGTTTTGGGCATGAATGTAGTAAAAATCAATAGGAAAACAGCGACGACGCGAGTGTAGAAGTACAACGGTATTAACAAATATAAGATTTGTAAATATTTCCTGTTGTTTTGATTAATACTAAGACTAATGATATTACTCTACTCCCTTTTACTTATGGAACACCTAGCATACATATTTCATGTAAAAAAATGCATTACTACATATTTTTTTTGAATGATGACTCAAGTACTTAAGCACCTGCTTTGGGGACTATAATAAAGCAACTTATTACCTTGATTAACAGATGTTATTGTGCAAATACTCTTAACAACACCAATTGAAGAATTTTACTCCAAAATTTAACTAAATTAACTGCACTAGCATTACTACACCGCACTACTCGGCTAACTGCAATGGACGAATGCACCGACAACCATAGATTAAATCGATGACTGACTTTTTATTATTATCTATGACTGACTTGTTAAAACAGCCATAGCACTGACCATAGAACATAGATAATACAGGTAGTGCTAAGAAGAAACAAGGAGTCAGAGAAGAACGACTTTATATCATAAAAAATAATGTTGCGAATAAAATACTTCTATAATCACATCCTTTGTATTTTTATTGCAGGATTGGCTTCTTGTGATTAACTGCAAATTATAGAAAAGTAACGGTTATAGAAACACAGTAGACTATAGATAATAGATACAACTGAATAAGAACCTTATCTATGAAATGATATGAAAACCAGTAAAGTGTCTAAAAAGAGAAAATATCTACGACCGAATCTATGCAAATCTATGGACTGTATATAACCTACAATTCGTTCGGTAGCGTTTGTAACCGCACAAATCAACAACAAAAAGTTGTTTTCTTATTAAATAATTTTATTGATCCAACTTTTTGATAGCCGATTGCCTTTCTCATTTAATTATGGCTCTGAATAAACCAAAATCAGAAATGACCGCCGAAGAACTGCAAGCTCGAGAAGAAGAAGAATTCAATACCGGACCACTTTCTGTTTTAACGTTGTCTGTGAAAAATAATACCCAAGTTTTGATAAATTGTCGAAACAATAAGAAATTACTAGGACGAGTAAAAGCATTTGACCGACATTGTAATATGGTGTTGGAAAATGTGAAAGAAATGTGGACAGAACAGCCACGTCCAGGCAAAGGAAAAAAGAAAGCAAAACCAGTCAACAAAGACAGATTTATTTCTAAGATGTTTCTGAGAGGAGATTCTGTTATTCTAGTAGTAAGGAACCCATTGGCCTCAGTAACTAATAAGTAATATTATCAAGTATTTTAAGATTATTAAAAAGTGTATTTTGTATTACGTTAATCACTTGGAATAACATAAAATTAAACAGTGAAACACAAGTAGTTTCTTTTTTTTTTTTAATAAATATCCAAAATACATTGTCAATTTTCAAAGCAAAACAAATGCACCTAGCAATTGTTACATATAATTGTCATTAAAACAATGCTCTGCATTTTGGACAGTCTGGGGGAAATCCTGATGAATTTCTAGAATTCTCCCAGCTATTTATACATTTATCATGAAAATAATGTCCACATGGAAGTCTTTTAACGTTGATAGACTCCAAACAAATCACACAATCTTCAGGCGGATGATTATGCCTTAAAAAAAGGTTGACTTGTAATTCAGCTTTTTAATTATAAACCCTTAACAAAAAAAGTGGAATACTTACTGTGTTCTTGGTTGTGGTTGAGGAGGAGGAGAAGAAAAATGATGTGAAGAACTAGAATGGGCTTGAGGAGTCTCTGGTGACTTACTAAACAAATATGCCCCCAATCCGAATGCTGCAACCATTCCACCAACAGTCGCAAGAGTACTCCATCCACTTGATTCTTCTTTATTGTTTCTGTTTGACATTGTAATTTTCCTGGGAATTAATTATCATTATACAATAATTATGATTAAAAATCTTTTTTAACATAAGTATTTAAAATAACAACTTCTATGTGGAGCAAAATAATTAACACTCACTTGTTAATTCCAGTAGTTCTGTGAAATTAATAAGAAAAGAATTACAATAAAATAATTAGAAATAAATGGAATATAGTAAAAACGTCTGGCGAGATCAACAACACAATGAAAAACGAGGAGTTCTAAATATCTGGAAATCACCGAATATTTATTTTTATGTAACTGCGTATGCAACCCATTATGCATCTATGCGGATATTCCCTCTATACACCTATAAGCTATTAATTGTTATTCTACATTTATTATTTTTTCAGAATCAATAAATGGTACTACGTATTTATTTTCGAAACGATTAACAATCCAAAAATAATTTTGTCATTGGGAATCCTGCCAATAAAATTAAAAATTACTCAAAATAGATCACATTCAAAAACGAGATAATATAAACGTTAATCAGTAGTAAAACAACTGATTAAGTATTGATATAGCGTTCCTCAACTTTCTATATAACCAGAAGGATTTTCAAAAATTATTTTAAAATTGTAAACTAATACAGATCTGAGAATACACATTTTGAATGAAAAACACTCTGTATATGTGGGCCCTACTATTAATGGCTTTCAAAGGGCTTGAAAAAAGCCATCCAGTTTACTAGATCAATAATTTATTTCTTAGGTACATCAGAGAAATAAGTACACCATTATACAACACATTTTTTTTAAACAACTAGTATAAATATGATATTTTATATAT